GCACCAAGGATGCGGAGGCCTCCTTCCACCCGCGTCCTCGGTGGTTCAGTGGGCTCCTCCTGGGATCGGACTACGTCCTCCCATCCCAGGAGCAACCCATTGAGCCATTGAGGATGTGGAGGCCTCCTTCCACCCGCAGAACAGATTAATTTCGTAAGTAGAGGTACCACTGTATTTGGTTAAGAATCTTTTTTTCCTAGATTTTCCTCCTTTAAAACTGGGTGCGTCTTATATGCCGGAGCGTCTTATATGGCGAAAAATATGTAACACCTGTTCTAAAGTCTCTCCACTGCCTCCCTATTAGTTTCTGGGCCCAGTATAAGGTGTTGGTTATGACCTTTAAAGTCCTAAATGGCTTGGGTCCAACCTATCTTTGGGACCACCTTCTCCCATATAACCCAACCCGTCCACTCCGGTCCTCTGGGAGGAATCTGCTGCAGCCTATAAAAACTAGGCTGTCTGCAACCACCCAGAGGACCTTTTTGGCAACCGCTCCCAGATTATGAAATGGCCTGCCAGATGAGATCTGTCATATTACCACCTTAGCCAGCTTTAAAAAGGCTGTTAAGACAGATCTCTTTCGGCAGATATCCTGAACAGATATCCTGGCCATCAAAAGGCAGCCCAATTTGCTCCCTGGATTCTGCTGCAGTTACTGTTTATTTGTTTATTTGTATTAGCATTTTAAGTGTGTTTTAAATTATCATTGTTTAATAGCATTTTAAGGGGGGTGGGATTGTGGGATACAAAATGTATATTTTAATGTTGTAAGCTGCCCCAGTTGCGTTACGCAGAGGGGTGGGATAAAAATAAATTTTATTATTATTATTATTATTATTATTATTATTATTATTATTATTATTATTATTAAATGTATGAAATACTTTAAGGTACAGATTGTCCACATGCAAATAATCTATGAAAATCCAACCTGAGTGAGACATATCTGTGTGATTTCCTGTATTGCTCAACATTCTCATTATGTACCATATTCTTTGCATAAGGAACAAATCATTTGCAAAATATGCAAATATGGTTACCAATATTGCAGAATCTAGAATATGACAACTCTCAGACAGGAGCATCAAGAGTGGTAAGGAAAGTTAAGAGAGGGAAAGACAGAGCTAGCATTAGGGTAGAGGAAAAGAAAATGTAGTGACAAAAAGTGTGCAGAAGGAAAATAGTATGGATGTTGGGAGTAAGGAGGTTTCTAACCTAGGCCAGCTGGTGCATGTTAAAGAAGAACTGGAGTGAAAAATGAACAAAAAAGAGGTAAGAATAGAGGAGAGGACAAAAGAGAAAATCTGGGTTTCTAATCCAGGAGATGCTGGATACTTTATTTAGCTTGTGGAAGATGATCTTCAAGTTCTGTGAATGTTTTCATAAACTAGAGAAGTCCCATTTCACATTTGATTCCTCATGTTAGTCAAATGTCATTTACTTGGTGAACTATGGTAAAAATCTGCCTTCAAATTTGTGCAATATTAAGCCATTTTAGATGTTTCAAAATTTAGTTATTGTAGAGACTCAGAGTGATGTAGGAGTTTGAGCATTAGACTATGGAGTTGCAATAGTTTATGACTCTAGAGAATAAGGTTCAGTTCTGTAGTCAGCCATGGAAACATACAGAGAGTCACACACTCTCAGCCCCAGAAAACCCTGTGATAGGTTCAACCTAGGATCACCATAACAAGGAAACAACTTGAAGGCACAGAACAACAAAGTTCATTGTAGGTTTTGGAAATGATACATTTTGAAGTTTTAACTTATGGATATGTTTGTTCAAACAGTAATCTTCTCAAGAACTAATAGTTCAATGATATTCAATGGAATTAATATTTACCATTATTTTTGTGCTTGTGTAATATGTACAAAAGTGTTCAAGTTGTTAAAAACTAACACAATAGTAATATGGTTTTAGCTTAATGTGATGTACCAAAGTCAATAATGAGGCAGATATCTGAGTCCATGCCAAAATTGCTTCAAAATCAACAAAAAGGTTTGTTCTTGTTATTTCCAAATTCTCTGTGGTTACAGATTTTGGCCTAACTAATACATCTATGCCACAGAGCTGAGAGCTATAGAGATAGTGGAGCTATAATGATTTTGAAGTATTTGTTGATCATAAAAACAGAAGGTCCTTCAGTGGCTTTCATGTACTCAGAATTAATCAAAGACATGGTGTTGTGAAGGAGCAGGTCAATACTTAACTATAAAAAGCCTACAGTAAGAATAGTTGGGAATAAAGGTACTTAGCTTGAAATTCATGATGTGCATTCATTGA